GAGGACAAAATAACTAACATGCCTTGAAGGACCACGCTCACTCAAGGGACGGCCCACATCAGGATATGGAACCAAGAGTGACCAGGGGAATAATCACTAAAGATATCAGGCTAAGAACTCTACTAAAAGAAACACCAAGACAAAATGAACACGGAGGAAGGGAAGAAGAGGAAGAGGAAGAGAAATAGAAAAAGAGAAGGAAAGAAAGAAGTAGGAATGAGAAGAGCAAGAGGTGAAAGAGAGAGGAAGGGGAAAGGGTGTCTGACCAACAGTCTGCAGGGTAACTACAAGACAAAACAGAAATACCACCTCCAGCTATCATTATTTAAATACAGATTTGAAGCTGTACACATGCTCAAATACTTTAATAGACGAGACATTAAACTGGAGAAATTTGAGCTTTCACAAATATAGATGAGCTGTGGTTCTCGAAGACCAAACTAGCTAGCTCACTAAGATGATGGGCATTGTAGTCCTGCACTAGTAAACACCACCAGCAAATCTTTTGTTTGCATCGTTATATCGTCATCTTAAATATTTGCTAGTTAAGATATTATAGAAATCTGCACAAAGTTACACTATTGTAATGCTGAAACTCATTAACAGTGGTTTGGATCTGCTACACATAACATGTAATACACATGTAGGCATATTCTGCAGAGAGATCTCCGCCGTATTCGGATCTACCCCTATAAACTGATCATTGCATTGTTTTTACCTGTGCTAGGCTCCAAAGACATGTCTCTTCCTTGTTCTTGCTCCAGGATGTGACATCACATACAAGCAATGCACCGTGGGACTTGTAGTTTCAGGTTACAAGAGCAGTCAGGACTGACTCAGCAAAGTCATGGCCACAGAGTCAGCTGACTGTTAAATTCAGCTGAATTATATACAAATTCTACAGATATCATGATTAGAAAATAACCCGTTTACAATAAATAGAATGAGTATATAGGACCTGAAATATGAATGCCTGATGATTATATGGACATTCTTCTGAGCAGCAATAAGAGCGTATTTCAATATATTACACTGGCAGGACTGTCACCTGGGATTTATACATGGAAATCAGCTACATTACAGTGCACAAGTGTTTCAAAAATAGGAAACAGGAGATTTAAAGCACAACTCCAGCTTTATAATAAATATTGGGAAAAAGAAAATAGCAGTGCGCTTCAAACTCAAAATATTCCTAAAATGTGAGAAAAATAGTATGAAATGTGAAATTGTCACAAAGTGATAAACAATTTTGTGTCATACACAACACCTGTGTTGCACAATGCCTGTGTTGATGATAGTGAAGAAAAAAGCTCTAGGTCTAATGGTCTATACACTATAAACCATGATAAACATATAGAAAAAAAAAATTTGCTAGTACATCTCATAAAATGTGTACATCTATTGACTTCCTCTAAGGCGACGTTCTGTATGACTGTGTTACAGACCGTCGCCTCAGAGGAAGTCAATAGTGTCGCAATGCATCAGGTGGGCGGATCTATGCGAGCATTGCAATCATAGAGACAGGAGCTCCGGCGGACACAATCCATATGCAATTGCCTTATTTTAATTGTAAGTGCATTTTAATTGTTTTAAATAAATTTATTCTGACATACTACACTATGGGAAGCGTTGAAAAGTTGGAAGATATATCATCACATATTTCAAGGACTTTATTGTATCAAGATGTTATGGACTTCACATGTGGTTATGTAGATTAAGAGGGAGTTGT